ACCCCTATTAATAGCAACAACAACATCAACACAGTAAAAAGTAACATACAGAGTGACTACAGAAAGTGGATCACAAAAGAGCTTTCTTTCCTCCTCTCTGTCTTGTTGTTCTGTTCCTTTTTTTGTTTTGTTGCGAAAGCTATAATCCTTTTTATGAAATAAAAAAAATTGAGGAACATACAGCACATCACACCGACATGAGGAAAGTGAAGAAGAGTCATGCATACATTTCTACATAATCTATTTAAATTGTTGACTTCTTTTTCGACGAAATGTGATGCTCTTTGTCGGTGCTTTGTTTACTTGATGTTTTGGTCAATTGGTCAATAGAGAGGATGCTGATGTTGTTTGTTTGGTCAATCGATTGGGGGTAGTTTATGTTATTTTTGGATAGATTATAAAGAATAGTTTTAAGTTTGTTGATAATGTAAATAGATTTGAGATATGTTCGGATGTATCAATGGATATGCAAATAAAATGTTGATCTTTTTTTTTGAATGGTAAGTTTGTGACTGTAAGGTGGATATGCTGTGGTACTATGATACTAGACAGAGAGAGTTGTTTGCTTGTCATTAAAACCTGAGTTGTTGATTAGAATTCTAAGGAAAGTATACAGTCCCGAAAAAAGACATTGGGCATGCATAGATCAAACCTGGGACTGAATTAGCCTTTATGAGATTTAGAAGTCCTTTTGCTAAATTGGCTAGTGCTTCTTCCTATGTTCCTTTTTCTTTGAATTTTTTTGTTTAAACAAAAGTCAGCAAAAAAACTTTTCTTTCAGTAAAGCTTTCATTCATATTTACAGAACTAATAATGCGCACCCTCTCATCATCATTCCTTATGAATTTTCACACACTTGCGCTTCCTTTTCTCATATTTTTCACTTATTGTTGAAACGCGTGCAAATATGAACAAAGAAAAGTTGATGATGTTACAAAATATCTTGTAAAAAATGGCAAACAAGAGAGAATAAATAATGAAAAGTAGCTGAAATTCAAGTTCTGTTTTCTTATTCAACTTTAAATTTATCCATACGCACATACTCCAGCATAAATGTTGAGTGAATTTACTTTACTTCTGTGTGTGTTTTTATGTTTGTTTGTTGAAGAGGAAAAATGAATGAATAAGAAAAACAAGGAAAAAAAAGGCATTCTATTGACAAACGATGCTCGAAATGTAAACACAAATAGAATTTAAAAAGAGATATATGTGAAGGAGATGGGAGCTCTCGAGAGAGATGCCGTGGTAAAAATTCTTCTTCCTCATTTCGCTTGCTCGTATATTTGAAATTGGATTTTGGTGGATGAGATGTCATTTGTTGTTCTGTTCTGTTTTTTTTTTCGGTTGAAGGTTAAGGTTGTTTGCTGATGAAATATGGGGGAGATTTTTAATCATGTTTTTTGAGCTGTGGTATATGGAGATGGCAGCTTTAAGGCTTGAAATTTAGAATTTTTGATGATTTGATGGATTTCTTAGAATGGTATCAAGGGGATTGAAATCAGCATTGCGTACCCGAAAATAACCACAGTTCCATCTCTGATTGTATATCAAAGATAAGTTTAGATAACGTTGATAAGTAAAACAATGGACTTGCATGACCTTGTCTCCCATCATCTTTTAAAACCAGACTAAGAAATAATCAAATAATTTTTAAAATTGAGTTTTCATCCCTAGCATTTTTTATGTTGCTGCCATAAATCGTTGAAAGCAGTAAATAGCATAAATCATTGAGCAATTTTAGTGCGTATGTAAATATTTTCGCTACTCTGCAATAAATTCTCGTAAAATTGTTATTAATTAAATTAAATTTGCTCAAGACTTTCCTGTTTTTATTTTTTTACTCATGATTTATGTCGATGATATTGCTGCGGATATGCTTAAGAAATATCTTGTCTGTTATTTTGTGTTAAAATTGAAGAATTTTTGTGGAATTTTTCTTTGAATAGCTTTTAATAAAATTTAAAAATGAATTTAAATTCCTAGAATTTTATAAATTTTTTGCTTAAAAAATTCATTTATTCGTAATTATCTTGGAAAAATAATAAAATTCAACAATGTTAAGAGATCATCGAAAAATCCATTAATTTCTCCGAAATGTCAGCTACAAAATATCAACTTACAATCTCAGGAATGGCTCATGAAATTAGAGCCAACAAACAATAACAACATCTCACACCACCAACACTCAATTTAGTATAAACCTTATAAAAATCTATCTAATTACCTTCAGAAAATATTCATTTAGGGGAAAATAAAGACTAAACGATCCCACGTGTTTAAAGTAAATCATTGGAAAATATGAAAATTAGCAAAATGCGGCTAATTGAATTTCTAATAATAAAATTAACAGCTTCGCTGAATTTTAATTGGCAATATGAATAATTCAACATTTTCTGGTAAAATATATATTTTTTGTTATTTTTGCGGTGAATTTTATGGCTTTATTCATGGTGAATTTTCATATTAATGAGCTATCGAGTGGGTTAAGTCATTATGAAAATTTGATTCCAAAAAAAAATACTATTTGGGATTAAAGTTGCAGATGGTTTACTAAAGTTATTGATAGGGGCATGAAACTTAATGCTAGGATAGAAGAAACCTGAGAATTGGCTTCGGAAGTATCTCTGAGCTCCTATGTGACCTGTCATACCTAGTCTAAGGTTTCAATCTTTTTAAAGGAGGTCTAAAAGATCCCTCAAAATGTACGAGTAAGCTTAAACAACTTAATAATCAGCATAAATCATCCAAAAACCTCCATCATCATCAGTTTGCAAAGTTCTAACCTTCAAAAATAAATACAAATTTAATAAAGTGAACATTAAAGCCATCCCGCAGTTATCAAAAGCAACCAAGAAAACTCAACTCAAAACGAGACTTACCAACTCATCGAATTTTTTCTTCTAGCCAAAAAAAAAATAAAATAAAAAGAGCCACAAAACTGTATGAATAAGCAGCGTCTCGTTCATTACGCGATATTGAGTTGCACGTAGACAGTCTACCAAAAAATTTTCACATCAAAGAAGAAGAACGAATATAATTTCGCCCCAAGAAATCCACAAACATCCGTTCGTTAGTATTTACAGAAAGAAAACATAAGATTTCCATAAAATAAGAAATATTACACGTATAAAGTTATACACATATGCTAGTATTATTAAAGTTGATAGGATTAAGAAGAAACTGAAAATGAAATGAGAAAAAATCCTCTTTTTGTCTCAAATGTGTTTTGGTTTGGGTGAATGGCAAGAAGATTAAGGAACTAGAAAAAAGATTTGCCACTAAAATATCTGGTTCATCATTAATGAGATGAAAGAAAATATTTGAATACTAGTTGATGGGATCCTTTCATTTTTGTGGGGTTTTGTCAGGGGTTATGCAATGTTGAGAGTAGCTTGCGTATCCTTATCATTAGAATGATTGACTTCTAGTGAGACTCGAACTTGCATCTTCACAGAAAATTGTGATCTCTTGCCTAACAATTCGTTCACAGAAGACTAAGTTAAGCGATGGTAGATTTGCCTACATCTGACTCGATACCTCTGACTCTATAGCATTCCAATTCTAAAGGTTTATCGAGAATTGTTTAAAAAAACAGTTTCAAGAAAAAGAGCGAGTCTTGCATGATTCGACATCAATTCAGCTTAGACATGACATAAATAAGTCTTTAAAATAAATTTTCTCAAGCGTGCCTCTCAATTGACAAATCTTTATGTACATAAAAAAAAATTGGAAAATCTACCTTAAGAGACGAAAACAAATGAACAATAATTTGTAGAGTTACAAATATAGGACGTTAAAGGGGTAGAATAAAAATTTATGTTTAGGAAAATTTCTCATAAAGACATACGACCCAAAATCTTCTTCTTATAACAATTCATTTAATGCATACTAAACTACCTTCTTCCTCATGATGATGAATGAAGACAAATTTACAAAATTATACAACTAATATGTATATTTTCCACCATCAGACCCGCCATTTCTCTTGTCTATTTTTCCACCTTCATGAGCAATATCATCATCATCATCATCATCAGCGTTATATACTCTTCTAGGTGCTTCTTCTTCGGTGTATAATACTATAGATGAGATACTTTGGTGTTTACACATTCAACTTTTTTTTCCCTTTATTTACCTTCGTCTTCTCAGTTTTTTTGCCTTCTTATGTGTGCTAAGTTGTATGTATCTACATAAATATATGCAAACATGTGAGTCTATACTTTACAAGCTCAGGCTTTACAAAACGTCAACCTCAAAAATACTTTAATATTTTATATTCATCCTCTCAAAAACACACATTCAATTCATTTCAATACCACTTAGGTTATTCATTCTTCTTGCTTCTCTTTCAACTATTTCCATTTCACTTCCGAGGCTGAATGGGAAGTCGAGTTTGGGAGACATTTTAAGTTAAACAGAATGAATGTGTAATTATTTTGAGTGGATGTGATGAGGAGCTTTTGAATTTGATATGAGTATGCTTGCTTTGTGGATAATCTAGATGATTCTTAAGACTATGTTGCTGATTAGGTCCTGAACTTTTGGGTGGAAAAAGTATAAAGTTCATTTAAGATCCACTAGGTTTGAATTTAAGATTGACAAACATTTAAAATGCTGCAACTCCTGGTTTAAGTATCATTAACCTAAATAAACCCTTGCATCCGTGTCAGTCACATTGATTAAAGAACAAGTCATCATCTACAGCTTCCACAAAAATCCTAAACATCCCAAACCAAATAAACTTTATACCCCCAACTTAATCACGTTACAAAAAAAAAAAATCTGTGTAAAAAGGAAGCAGGAAAAGCTTTTATGTGGAAACATTTCTTTAATTTTTTGTGTGCTCCATCTCGTCTCTACATACACTTTCTGTCATTTCATGCATAGCAAGAGTCATGTGAGAGACGAGAAGAAATTTATTCCTTTTTCTATTCTAATTAAATTTAATTGCTTTCATTTATTTCATAACAAAAAAAAATCTCCGACATTCACTTACACAGCACCACTGTTTCATGTGGAAGCAGTTCAAGGCACCACAGCACGTTTACCATGCAACCTAACATCACAAATTGATGCTGATAGAGTATCACTTGTTATATGGTATAAGGAAGGTCAAAGTACGCCTATATATAGCTTCGATGTACGACATACGGAGATGCTGGAGAAAGGCTTACATCATGAGGGTACGGGAAGCCTCAATGGACGATCTCATTTTAATACAACATCATTATCATCATTTATTATAACGAATGTTAAAGGACAGGATAATGGCTTGTATCGTTGTCGTGTGGATTTTATTAAAAGTCCAACGCGAAATATAAAAATTCAGTTGAGTGTTATAGGTAAATGTTATGTTCATGCTACATAAATAATAAATTATGAAAAAAAATATGTATAATTCTACACCTCATTAACATTAATGCAAGCATCTCGTTCATGCCCCAATTTTTTTTTATTTTATTATTCACAGTGCCACCTGATAGCATTACGATATTTGATGCAAAAGGCACTCAGCTACCTCACTATATACTAGGTCCATACAACGAAGGAGCTTCCATTAATATTACATGTGTTGCAAGTGGAGGTAAGTCAACTATATCTCATTACAATATCGAGTATGAATTACAAAAATTACTGCGAGTCATAACGATATCCTTTTCATCAATGTAAGTGGAAATCATCACGTTCACAGAGAGTATAATGGAATAATTAATCAATACTGATCATTGAGGATGAGTATATTGAATTATTAATTTAATGAATTTTCCCACTGATTGTCAATTGAATTTTAATCTGCTTTTAATTATATTCATTTGGGTCAGGATTGAACTGTTCAGTTGTTTGAATTCATGGTGTCAATTTTGTCAGTTCCAAGAATTTCAGAGGATCAAATGCATTGTAAAATCGTAAAATGAATGAAAATTGACTTTTCATTAATGGTAACAGACATGTGTGTCACAGAGCATAGCTTAAAATTTCTTAATTAGTTAAAAAAATTATTCATGACATCATGTCTCAACAATGCCCAATTCAATTAAACCAGACCACTTATAATCACAATAGCTTTATATTGAAAACTAGCTTATATCTCAATCAATTATCCAACTATGTAAATCTATTCAAACTTGATTGAAATTCTAACCAAATGCATTCAAGCTCATCGATTGACAATATTTACTCAATTACACGTTCAATCAGTGAATATTATGAATTGATTGATTATATTAAACTAATGAAGTACCTTTCAAGTACCGATACTCATTCAACATACATGATATGAAAATCTCAGCAATTTCATTTAAAAAATCCAAAGCAAACATGTGCACGTAGACATCTGAGTGTGTGTATAGATGTTGATAAATCAACGTAAAGAATCAATGCAGATATCAAGTGTTCATCGCATTTTAACGTGTCAATCATTAACCGCAATGATATCATGTTTGCACTTTATTGGTTGTAGCTCTTTTGATTGGCTTCGTAGAAAATCTATTATGATGAAAATAGCAGCACAGACTATGTATGTTATTCATTCTTTGGTATATCTCCTCATCAATGTATTGATCTATCGAGTTAGTGTGGTTGCGATATGATAAAATAAGATGTTAAGATACATACAAGTATGGAAGGAGGAATGAGATTTGGTGGGATAGGCATTTACTAGGTTTATTTAAGGGGCCGTTCACTTATGACGTCCAGGGGGAGGGGGTCAGCAAGATCCATTGTTCTTTTTAGAAAAATGACCGGTAATTTTGGATGTCATAAGTGAACGATCTCTAAGAGGATTGAGGATTAATAAGGCCTATAAAGTAAGTTGGATTCTTGGATTTCTGAGATTCTCAATTATTGAACTTACAAAAGATTCAAAAAAGCAGTCAGAAGATAATTACCAAAATTAAGTGGAGTAAGCACATAAAATTTGATAAACAACCAACCAACCATACAGACATAATAATATTACCATCCCTAAAACCCTCATAAAGTACCTCTCGAAATGGCACTTGAAAATATGCGTGTTATTATTATACGAAAGGCATAATACATGAGGATGATGATAATGATTTGAAAAGATATTTACGAAAGTGTATAAGATTGCAATATATTTACATAGATCTTAACGCGCCCTGTACATACGGGTGGTTTTCTTTATTTCCTCCAATTCTCATTCGCAATATATCTTGTTGGGCTTGTTGTTAAGATACGAAATCTATGTGTATGCTTAAGGTAAATTTTGTATTCAGCTAGCGAATGATTTTACGATCAATTTTAAGAGGAAATTGAGGGTTTTCATGTTGTTACTTTTCTATATTTTTACATCCATACTTAGAACTACTATATATATAGACACGCATCTACAGGAATAAGAAGAAGCTGACAAAAATAAAATAAAAATCTTATGCATGTATTTTCTGCGTGAAATAATAAATTTGCAGAAGCTCACAACAGTAAAAAACATTTTTGCCTATATCTATATATAATAATATGAAAACGAGTGGTAATACAATACACAATGTTTGAGTTTATAGCTTTTTATAGTGAAAAATAAAACGTTTGCTGTTTTTCTCGTCACACTCGTGCTGCTTCTGAAGCTGCGTTTGAAGTCGATTCTTTTCGAAGTTCTTCTTCTTTTCTTTTATGTGCTTAATTTTTAGAATAAGAGCTGGCTAGTTCTAGATTTGTCTGATTTTAGTTGACTTCAAAAATTTTCATATATTCTGTTTTTCCTTATTTGACACTATGTCGGCTGAGATTTGGCATAGAGGTTCAGTGGCTGATTCTGAATAAGGAAGGATTTAAAGGAGAGCTCGAAGTCGATGAATTTTGTATGGAATCGACTTCAAGCTCTGGTTTAAAAGATCGTGCTGTTAAACCCTTCCCCATTTTATATGAGGTACAATTTGCAATACTCAAAAATGCATAGACCAATAAAATGCGCATTCACCACCTTCAAGTTTCCAAAAGAAAAAAACTTTCGACACAAGCCTATCTTTACTAGAGGCAAAAAGTCATTTTATGTGATTTCATCATAAAAAATAAAGAGAAGCACAAAAAAATTCTCAATGTCGACAAATTGATTTAATTTTGTCATTTGAGATTGAAGGAAAGGAGACAAAATAGGAAGAAGAAAAGAGGAAAAACTTTCGTCAACACGAGACTCTTCTTATTATTGTTGGTATTTTTGACAGTCATAAAAAATATTTTACATTATGCGTAGACGCTTGCATCATCACAATAGCAGAGAATTATTAAGATTATGCCATATCAAATGAGTAATCTTACATGATTTTACAAATTTCCATACAAATTTCCCCGTTCCTTAAAGTCATAAAATGAAAAATGTAAAATTCATTACATGGCATTGAAGGGATTTCTTTTGTTGTTGTTGACTCTGTTTATGATGATGTAGACGGATGGGATTTAACTGGTTGAGATTAAAAAGAAAGGCTTTAGACTGAAAAACAAAAATCAGTCAACGACACGTGTACCAGTACTCAGAAGCCTCCTTGATGATAATTTATTTTGAAGATTGTTATTTATCAAATTATGTCTACATCTGCTAATAGGATATGCCTTAGTCATACGAGTCTTACTTTCTTGCTTTGAGTTGTGCTTCGAGGATGAATTTGTATTTTACATTAGAATATATTCTAACCGTAGGCAACGCACGAATAGACTCTTTGAAATATTATTATTATTGAAACCCATTTCCCTTAATTGTATTGAGAGTAGCTTTGGTAATATTGAAAGAAACATTTTACAAGATAGATTGTAAAAGGGTTTGAATAAGTCTGCAGCTGCTATTCAGCTAGGCTTATTCAGCTGAACTGAATTCAACATTATTCAGTGAAGCTTAATTCAGCATTATTCAGCTGAACTGAATTCACCATTATTCAGCAGCGCTTAATTCAACAGTATTCAGGAATTTGATATTTTTGAAGAGAGTTGAATTCAGCACTATTTTGCTGGGTTGAGTTGTGTTCAGCCTAATTCATCAAAACTAAATTGAATTTAGCAACTTCAATCTCTTTAAACCTTCCATAAAACCCATATTAAACCATAAAACGTTTTCTTCTTTAAAAGATGTCACAAATTTTGTGCTGAGAAATCATGACTTGTAATATGAATTTGAAAATAATTTTTACATATATTTCAGTTTATGCCTCATTCATCTGCAACAATGAATAAAAATCCTCGACAATTTCCCATGAAAACTTCCTTATTATTCAAGAAGCATTGAAAAATCAAACAATCAATAAAAAGAGGAAGAAAATTTTCCCACGAAATGTATCAAAAATCCTTGACTTTTTCCTTATCCTTAATAGATGAATAAATTATATTTGAGTATGGAAATTTCCTCTTATAAATTTGCAACATGAATTTACATAAATTTCTTTCGTCTATAACCCGCCTAAAAAAATGCCTGCCTTAAACTTTCTTTCCGATCTATATTATTTTATTCTTTTCTCATCTCATCTGCTAACATAGAAGAAATTTTCATAAATTTTCTGACAAAAATATATCGATTATATGTGTGTACATAATATATGGATGTGTGTGTTGCTGCCGCTAGCTTTGATTATATTTTTTTTTCTCTCCTTTTCTTCTCTGGTGTTTTGTGATGTGCTTTAAGCTCCTGTTTTTGTTGCCTTTTATATTAAAGCAAAAGTTGAACGAATGTGATAAAAGGCAATGTTACACGTACTCGATGTATTCATTTGAGTTGTACGAGAGAAACGTACAGAAGCGATTTAATGGAGTATCATTTGGTATCGACATAAAAAAATGGAGAAGAATGAATGCTCGACGATAGCTGCATCAGTCGATCAAACTAATTTATGATTAATTCGATTGCGTGGATGTTCTTTTATTGGAAATTAAGACTTTTGAGCGTATTTTAACGTTAAAAATTTGGCTGCTTTATTGGTTTGTCTACCTGACTGCTACTTTAACTGACTATAAGATTTCAACCTTGAGAGTCAGAACTTAAGCTTGTATGATAAGCAAAGTAAACTTCTGAGTTATATCTTTTGGACTACTTAGGGTAGTGTAGTTTCTTAAACAACTAGCCCACTCCCAAGTTTAATGTCTACATCCACAGCCATTAATTTAACAAGCACAAAGGAACATTAATCCGTATCTAATGAAATTTAATGCCAAATTATTTTAATATCAACAAAAAAGCGATAATAATTCCAAAACTTTCTGGTTAATTATGAATTTTAATGAAGATTTTGATGATAACCACAACATTAATGATGGTTCAGTTACACTCGCAGTTATGTCTGACGATTAACGATTATTTCGACAAAAAATTTATTCATTATCTGATCTCCGTGCCAACGATGAAATTCTCATTTTTAATGAATTCATAATTTATTTATCGTCTTTTCTTTCTTTAGGTCGCCCCTTAGCGCAAGTAACATGGTGGCGTGACAATGTCCTCCTCAATACAACGTCAATTCAAATCGTAGATAAAAAAGTCAAAAATACATTACAATTATACAAATTAGAGCGTAAAGATTTACATAATAGCTACGTCTGCCAAGCATCGAATAATGATGTTACTCATCCTTTAACAAGTACAGTCACACTCGATTTGAACTGTAAGTTGAAAGAATGGAATTTAAATTTTAATGGTTGTAAAGGAATTTGGGGGTTCTAAGAAAAGTTTTGGTCGTTATTTTTTCTTTAAAATTATCCAAGTCCAAAACTAAATCTAGATCTCAAAAAGGCTGAAATCTCTGTAAATTCCTCATCATTAATCACAAGCCACAAGAGAACATAAAATCTTCAGAAACTCCAATTCAAGATTAAATTTATGCTAATTTGACTTTTATAAAACTTTTTTCCTCGTTCTTCTTTTAATTACACTCATCAAGTGCGTCCATTAACAATAAGATTAGATCAAGATGTAAAATATTTATCTACAAATCACTCGTACGATTTAAAGTGCGAAGTAACTGGAAGTCGACCGGCTCCATTAATTTCATGGTGGAAAGGCTCGTCGCAATTAAGAACAACTAAAGAATGGGTGAGTCATTGCTGTGTGTTTTTTTTTTCATTCTCATTCGATTATTTGTACTAATGGCGGTCGTCATGAGCAAATGAAAATGTGCTGTGAAGTTGGATTGATGAATTAGTCGATGATGAGAGGATGTTTGGTATGAAATTAAGTTGATTGCAGGGTCATTTGGGTAGTTTTTGGATATTTGTGTGAAGTTATGAAGAAAGGAAAGTATCGGACTGTTGAGTTTGGAATATGCTTCAAATTGAACACTCAATGCTAGTTCCTATATCCAAAACACACCCTACACTACTGATACTTGCCCTATCCATTCTTTTACACTCCCTTTGTGAATCCTGTATCCAAAACAAAACTATTGTCACTTACCCTTAACCTCCATCACATCAAAATCAGTCCAACTTCATCTAAGTCTAACGTTGCCGCTTTTATTGTGTTAACAAAATCGCTGAGTAATCAAATGAGCTTTTTTATTCTTATTATTCTCCATTTCTCTTGTTTTTTCTATCTCCTCTATTTTTTTGACATAATACAGACATCATCTGATGGAAATTTAACAAGATCAATTTTAACGTACATACCCGTATTGGATGATCAAGGAAAATATTTGTCATGTCGAGCGGAGCAGAGTCTCATACCTGAATCGGGGATTGAACAAGGCTTTAAATTAGATATTCATCGTAAGTTCAAGATGAGAAAGAGTTTTACTTTTTATTATATTTCATTAAATTGCTAATGGCTCTACTCATTTTAATAAAAAAAGAGCACACGGAGGAACTTTTTCTTCTCATTTCATTCGCGTAAGACAATGAAATGAGGAAAAACTTCTTATATTATTTTGTGGAGAAAAAAAATTCCAAATTGAGTTCGTAAAAATGCATTTTTATCCTTCACAATTTCATTTGTGTTTGAGAGCTTAAAAGGAAAGTTTATTTCCAAAAAGTTGGGCATTAGAGCTGTAGATTGGAAAGGAAAATGGCGCTTTAGTTTATGTTTTAAGTTTTTGAAGTTCAATTCTCAGAAATTTCATTTGAGGTTTTGAAGGAAAATTTACGACTTTTAAAATTAAAATCATAAAATGTTTAATCTAAAATAAGATTACAAAGTTTAACATCCTGATACCTTTGCATGCCTTATACAACAGATGACAAAACAAATTTTCCCACCCTCACAAAAATAGAACACTAATAAAAATATGCAAAGTAATAAGCTCATTAAAAAGCCAAAGTATAAACTCTTAAACACACTTCTAAATGTTACAAACTTTCCATGCTAAAAGTGCAAAGCGTAAAGGAAACTTTTTTATTCCTGAGGCAAAACTAATTCCGACTTTTGCGAAATTTCTAACAGTAAAGTAAAGAAATAGGATGAAGTAAGTAGAAAGTACGAAATATTAAAATGAAAATTAACATGCGAATGCCATTGATGTGAAATTGTCAGGATTGTTTGAGGTTAGGTTTCTTTAAATCAGGCTGATTAAGCAAACCTCTGAATTGAATCAAACCTTATCCTTAAAGCAAGATAAAACTTGAATACATTGAATTGACAGAAGGTTCGCCACAACTTCCTAAATCCCAAAAGTAAACGCATAAAATACTTCAATAAAAAATTGACAAAATTTCCCCAAGGACCTCCCAAAATATGAAAATAGAGAAACTTTTACCTCTGCTATTGCAAAAGTTTCCACATTTAAACAATTTCGCGCACCAATAAATTTACTAATCGATTTTAATGGCACCTCGTGTGTTCATTTAGTTTTGTTTCGTGGGGTGGATGGGATAAAAGCTGTTGCAATATTTGCTTTAAATAATATCTAACTTTGACGTTTATTTGCATGATATAAGTTTATATATTTTCATTGGAATTTAAACTCACTCACGTGTGCTGCTGCATATGTTTAAATAATAATAAAGCTTGAATTAAACAATCAACTAATTTAATTTCAACTTGAGGGAATAATTTACATTTATTAGAGCAATTGCCATAAATTTTGGAGTCGAATTTTATGCAAACAGTTTGCGGAGGTGAAAAAAGTTTATTTTTTTTTCATAAAATTTTATGAACAATTTACTTGGAAATTATGAACTTTTGAACTTAAAAAGTTTTGTAATTTTATCGATTATTGGTTCAGTTTAATGAGTAAAGTAAATGTGAATCCTATGTCAGTGACCTAAAGCAACTGGGGTGTTGATTTTAATTTTATTAAAATTAAGATGAATAAATTTTTGACTTTTGTTGGCACGCGAGGTGTGGGGGATGTTTTTTGACACGTGTTTTGGGTAATTTACATAAATTTCTTATAATTAAAGCTTTGGGTTGGTGAAGGATCTTTAATGAAAGGTTTTTTAAGGCAATTCTTGATTCAAGGAAGTGGAAGAATTTCAAATTTAGATAATTTTATAGCAAACATTATAACTGTAAGCTTTTGTTTGAATTTTATAGCACGAATTATAGCAATTGCAATAACGGTCACTTTTTATTCGAAAATTGTAGCAAAATCTAAAATTGTCAAATTTTATAGCAAATTCTGATCTAATTTTAAGTTACTCAATAGAAGTTTCAAAACAAAAGTTTTCAAAAACTTTTTAAACATCCTTCAATAATACATGAAACTCTTGGAAGTGATACCATTATTAAACTTATCATTACTCTTACACATCTCAAATCCCCCTTTTCATCAATATCCAAGAAAAACATATAAATTTGATTGATGATGCAATATTAAAAGATTCTGTGTCAAAAGGATGACATCAAAATCTTAAAATGGATTGAAAATCATCGTGTTTAATGTCATTGAAGGGTTTTGCTTTAACAAAACTTCTTGGAAGAAAATGAAAAGTTAATCAAATGAAAAACCTTTCAGAACCAAAATACATTAAACTTTTTCTCGGCGAAGGAAAAAATATTGGAAATTTATAGATTAAAAAGTTTATTTTTTGCTGACTCGGGATTATGACTTTTGGATATGATTCATTGAAAAATGGAGATTAAAAAGTGTTGCTTCTAGAAATGAACTTGTTCAACTCATTTTTTTGCATAAAAATTTTTCCAATCAAAATTCTCAAAAAAAATTGAATACGGAAAATTTTTTAATGAGATTTTCGTTCCTTCCTATAATCTTCACGCACATGAGTAATCAATTTTTTCGGAAGATAAATGAAGAGTAATCAAATTTAAATGGAACTTCTCCCTAAGGTTTAAGCAGATACATTAAAATTGAATGACATTCTGCACAAAAAAATGGAAATGTTACGAAACAGGAGAAGTAAATTATGGTATGACAATAATTGTATGTTCAATGATACGTGGGGAACAAGTAATTCATATTACTAAAATAATTAATCTTACTCTTCTTATTCGTTGCCGTTACGCTGTTTGAGAAGGGATTAAAAATTGGATTTAATGTGATTTTTTTAAAGCAATTTTGTCTGTCTGACTGGATTTAAATGATTCAATATTTCACGAATCAGTGAGCGTAAAGCATCATGTTTTGTAATTTTCTTGTAGAATGCTTGAAAATATGAATGAGAAGATGTCATTGATGCTTTTTGAAAATCATCAAGATTAGTTCCATGTACAGTAACGTAGCTTTGGCTGTTCATACGCATTAGATCACAATTTTATTCAATAGCTAGTCACCTAATCAGAATTGACTTATCTTTATAATACAAAATGAGTGGAACCCTTCATTACATCCACAAAACAATATAAACTTCATAATCTAATTACAACCTCATAATAATCACTCAAAATATGCGCTATCACATCCCTTTACATGGTCACTCCTCATTATCCACAACAAAGAGAACCAGTTCTTGAAACGCAAAGTATATGTGTCCTGCCATACTGAGTATTATTATAAGAGCAATGGCTCATAATGAAATTTATTATAATGTACGTTCGGAAGGCAAATCAAATTAAGAATCCCTTAATATAGAGATTAAAATTTCACATAATTTTGGACAGCATATAACATAGACATATTATATCCATGACCATGCAATTATAACTTTTCGAGAAAATAATAATAATAATATGCATGTAAATGTCCTTTAAAGTGCTCTCTTGAAAAATTATGTGTCAATTATGACTTTTCGGGTGAATAGATTTTTGGTTCTTGTAGATGAATAGCTCAAAGTTTGACCCGATGGGGTTACGGAGAATAAAAGGGAAAAATTATTTTATTTTAAATTGCATTTTAAGAGAGAGTAAGACTGGCTGAATGAATGGCTAGATGGTATTAAAAGGGTTTTTTTCTTCTCCATTTTTTTTTGATAATAAAACTTTCTCAGGCGTAAAATAATGAATTACATTTGCTGGCTTGTCCTATCTCTCTCTACTGCTGCTCTTTCGAATAGAAATTTTCATTTCAGATTTTACTTTTTTTTTGCTATGAAGAAAAACTTTTATTTTACAATCAGGATTTATTCTCTTAAGCTTTTCAACACATTTTCATTTTGAATAATTTTTTGAACGACAGATTTTTGTGGAATTTCATAATTTCGGTGTCTGTCTATCAGTTTCGTGTCTGTTATGTGGGTTGAAAAGTTTTCAAGGTTTATTAATTCTTGTGTCTTTTTCTACGAAGATTTGAATTTATTTATTTAAGAATTTATGTCATAGTTGCTTACCCGAGTGGCACGTGGTGTAGTTGCTCGGATAAAATTCAAGGAATTTGTTATTGAGTTTTCCTGAATTCAGTTTATTAAGTCAGAAACTTTGATGTTCATAAAAAATTCTTCAGAAAGCTTTGTATCAGCTCTAGCTCAATTAGGTGCCTTTCATGTAGCAAAAACATAAACAATTGGATCTTTGCTTCCATTTTCGGCATTTAAAATCATTTGAAACACTTTCAGAAAAAGCTTCAAACTTTTCCACATCCGTGTGCTCTAAAAATTTCCACAATACCCAATTTATATCCCACATAAACTAATAAACTTTCTTCTTTATTTCCCCCAAAAAAATAAAAATCCAGATATACCAGTAGTAAAATTAGAATTCGGTACAAATCAGCAAAATCATCTACAAAATGGCATACGAGAAGGAGCTGATGTGTATTTTGAATGTAATATAAAATCCAATCCGTGGGTGTATAAGGTCTCATGGAAACATAATGTAAGTAAATTGATTTCTAATTGTATTAAATGTCAAAATTTGATAAACAAAAAACGCATCCTTAGGGCAAGGACATTTCGCATATGTTCGGCGATGGAATAATAATTTCAAATCAAAGCTTACTGATTTCGAACGTAAAGCGAACACAAATGGGTCAATATATTTGCAGTGCTGTGAACGCAGAGGGTGAGGGTGAAAGCAACGCTGTATATCTAGAAGTCCAATGTAAGCTTAATTTATTTTGAATTGGATTTTTTTTTATTTCAATGCATTTCCATTTTTTTTCTCTTCTCTTTCGTTCCTATCTCTATTATCTGCGTACACAAATAGTTGCTCCAGTATGTCGACCAGGACAAATTCATACATACAATGTGGGTAGAGGCGAAACGGCAAAAATTCAATGTGAAGTCATGGGTATTCCGACAGACATTAATTTTGTGTGGAAATTCAACACGTCCGTGTCAGAGCTGTTGGACATGCCATCGTCAATTGTGACAAATGACAAAACAAGGAGCACCATTCATTTTAAACCAATGACTGAGCATGTAATTATTATTACGACAAAAATGTCATTCTGACGAAGCTGATGCTATTGCTGCTGTTGCTTCCATTCATTTCCATCATTCACTTTTCATTTTTACCCCGCTCGACATTCATATCTACAGTATTCCTATCTTTATTCAACTTTTTTGTATGCATCATTTGCATAGATGATGTGCGAGGTTGTTTATTCAGTTTGACTAAGTATGGTATTGACAAACAAGAGTCTCCAGGGACAAACAGCTTGTGAAATTTCCTGGGTGGGTTTTTTTCAACTCTTGCCATCGATTTAAACAGTTCTGGATCAAAATGTTATTTAAAGTCATTAAATTGATTGATATATTTCAGAATAACTTTTCGAAGTGAGAAAAAATCCGCCATGTTGTTAATTATTAAAAAACTTAAAATTTAAATCTTTAAATTCCGGTAAGAAGTTCATGAGTTCATTAAAATTTCTACACAATTACTCCAATTGCAATAAAACGAGCAATTTCTATAAAAACATTAGAATCTTGAAATAATGAACCCATTAAAAATACAAAAATGCGCCCAAGACGCCAATTCCAACATCAATAATGACTATTCAACCTCTCTTGTCTCCAGTGCATCTTCTTTTGTAATTATTTTAATGATAATGACAGCATTTGCTGTTTGGATACTGTTTCTGGTATAACACTGGTGTGTTGTTACGATTATGAAATGTAATTCCATGTCTCTTTGTGTCGCCTCTTTATGCATCCTTAAACTTCATTAATATCAAGTTCATCCAGATTAAATTAATTTATATATTTAAATGAAGATTTTTAATTAGAGATAAAAATATTTTAAATGTAAAATAAGGATGAGGATGTCCTTTAGTTACAATTAGCAACAAAAATAATAGTTAAGGACAAGAGTTCAGAATAAGAATTTCCAGTGTAATGTAATGAAATTTAATCTGTTGTGTTACATGCATATATGGAAAAGGGTGGAGAATTATTGGAATTTAATGAAACTTTAAATGGATGGAACATTTTATAATGAATTTAAAAGATCGTACAGAAAATTTAATAACTTTTAACAACCTGTGCAGAATCAGCAAACATTAATTTAGATAGTATTATGTAAGCTGAGGATTTTATCCACCATAAATCACAATAACATGGAGATTATAGTGTTATTCTCAAGGAAAACTGCTTACTTTTAACTCAAAAATAATGAATCTTAGTTCCTCAATTAAGCACATTTTACTAAACTCCCAACATCAGGTTAATTTATAAAATTCTTACATTAAAAAGAATCGTTATGAGAAAAAACAAACATAAAAGCTCAAAAACTCGTTTAATGTAAAAGCTTTAATGTTAAGGAAAGAAATGAGAGACTTATTTTGCTTATTCATGTTTTTCCTTTCAAAAGAACGCAGAATGAAGGCAAATTCGCATTCATTTCATCTGCTTTCTGCTTCACACAAAACCTTCATTATTTCGCGAAACTGAGACGATGAGACAATTTTTTAAACATGGAATTGTATGCGCTATAGTAACTTTTCTTTTTGTTAAAGCGATGGAAATTTTGTAGGTTAGCGTATACAATGCAATCTGAATTCAAAGGATCAAATAAATTTAACGCACTTTCATATTCTGAGCTTCAAATTTTTAAAGGATATACAACAAAATGGCGGATTTTTCCTCACTTCAAAAAGTTTTTCTTTAATATTTCAGCATCGTCAGAAAATGTAAAGTAAATTATTATCTGGAACTGATATAAAAGATGGCAAGAGTTGAAATTACTCAGATTAATTCCAAAAATTCCATCAAATCATGCAAAATAAAGTAAAATGTGTTCAATAAGTTGCAAAAAGTGGCTTCCAAAGGAGGAAATTGCAGATCATAGGTTCAATCAACTCAACCTAGTCAAACTGAAGATAATCATTTTAATCTTCTCATAAAACGCTCCAAAAAATACATAATAAAAACGCGGAATTAATACGTGTACAGAGAGATAAAAAAGAATAATAAGTTCCATTCGCTCTGTGCTTTACTGTGAAAATGAATGGAAGTAAATTCTATTGTCTTATATTTTTGTGCCTTACAGTTTTCCTCTCATTTGCCTTGTTAAAGCAAAAAAAATAATAAAAACTCTCTCTTTTTTCAATTACCTAACACAAACACATATGTACATTAAAGGATTATGGAACACTCTTATGTTATGGCAGCAACGATCTAGGAACACAGACAGATCCCTGTGTATTCAACATAATACCAGCAGGTAAACAAAAGAAGCAAAAACATTGAGAAAATTTCTTTATTATTATTATTCAATTTTCCACACCAACATCCTTTTCTGTATAAATCCATTCATCTATACCATCATAACCCCCCATTCAATTCATTTTAGAGACTATCTCTTCATTCACATTTGTTTGCATACATTTAAAGCTTTTGGCTTATTTCTGAAGGACAGGTAGCATCACTTTGTCCTGCCGGATGTGGATAGTTCAGATTAGTTTTTGGGTATCTTTGGGTTGTACTATATTAAAAACATGATATTGAAACATATTAAAAATAACAGAAACCTTCAAAGTATGCGTTTCGATCTTTTCACCTCCATAACAATCCCAAACTTATTTCCTTTTGTGATTTCTCACTTGCTGCTTTACGTTATTGATGTTGAAACTTTTTTGTCTTTCATTATTTTCTCTCATCTTTTGTTATTCATTTCCTTTCAATTCTGTACGATGGGATGTTATAGGAAAACCAGATCCGTTGTCCAATTGCTCGATATTGAATCAGACATTTGACATGCTTCAAATAACGTGCCAAGAAGGATTTGATGGTGGTCTTGAGCAAAGTTTTATTGCAGAAGTCTACGTTCATGGACAAAAACATTTGTTCTCGTCTGTCAATTCAAAGTGAGTATAATGGAAGATTTTTTACACCTTAGACATGCATTCAGTGGAATCAATTTATATTTGTAGTGGTGGATTTAGATTTTGATGGAAATTTGTGATAATAAAGTTATGTTTTTGTACTATCAGAACAAAGTTACGATTGAGCTGCTTAGTATCTACTCGTTATAGAATCGATCAAATCGTTTAATGCTCAGCAGCTATCTTCATATTTAAAATCCAATAAAGATAATTATTGATGACCTAATAATTTTTTAAAACCCATTGAATTTTAAATGTCTGTCAATACTTATCAGTATTAAATGCTTTTAGCCCCCATCCATATAAATTGATTCATTGACTTCATTCTCCATTATTTCAAGCAGATAATATGCATTTTACAGTCATTGAATTGTAATGACTTTTTCAATAAAAGAATAGAAATTTTTAATTAATTCTTCTTTTATTGACAATTTTACATTATCCAGAACACCATTCTTTGAGCTGAAAGGTCTTGAGCCGGGAATTGGCTATGATATGCTTGTAGTGGCAGTAAATAAAAAGGGAAAATCCCGACCATCCATGTTGCATGGATATACACTAAAAACTCCTGAAAAACAAACTGGTATGTAGACATATCTAATTGTTGTACTCATCCGAGGCTGTACATGACATCTTTTATTAATTTTCTTCCTTTCTCTTCTCAATTTCAATCCACAGTTGTTTTCCCATTCTCAGACATTCCCATTTCACCCGTCCTAGCGCCAACGTTTTTACAAATAAAGCCATTTCTAGGCACAATGGTTGGCATTTTTGGTGCTCTCGTGTTGATACTATCAGCAATTATTTTAGTTGTACGTTTAAAAGGCTCAAGTCGTCGTGATAGAGCACGTGCAATAAGTAATACAATAACAATGAGTTCAACACTATCACCGTCGATGCAGAATGGTGTAATTTTAAGGGAGGCATCGAGTGCTGATAGTATAGATAAGAATCCCGACATTATTCCTCAAGGTATGCGATCTAAGTGTTAATATTACTTACGAATGTGAGAGGGAGAGAATGGAGCATGAATAATTCTATAAGTAGCAAAATATGTAGAAAAAGTGTGGAAGAAAGAAGATTATGAGAAAAAATGTGTATGCTGAATAGAATGGAGTATAATAGATAATGAAATTAGTTTATGTAAGAAAGAAGTGGATTTGGTAGAGGTTCCGATGATAGGAAATCGTCAATATTTTGTGCTGAGTTGACGTTTTCAGTTAATTTGGTAATGTTAGTGTCAAAACTGTTTAAATAAGTACAATTCAGCAATATTCAGGTGTGCTGAATTCAATCTTATTCAGCGGTGCTGAATTCAGCAATCAACATTCAGTCCTTGACTGTACAGATCATTTTCAACATACAAATTAAATAGCAGTCCTTGTTATAGCTGCATCTTAATATCAATGAATGACACACATTATTCTTTACATGTCTCCGAGAAAATAAAATTAACAAGCTTGGTTCCTCTACATGATACTCTATTACCAGCTGTCTATTCAGCAAACACAGTTCCATTCCCAATCTTTATATTTTCCTATTACAATTATTCGAGTCTATGTATATATGCATCCATTCAACTAAATAAATACTTCTTTCTCTCTTACTTTGTCTTCCATTTTTGCCCCAAATCAACTCAATATCATGTTGGTGTGGTTCCATTACAATTTATATACATCTACATGCACAATCACATAGAAAATGATAACGAGTGGATGAACAATAAGTTTGCAACGGCTGTGATGATGGCAGAGCAACAAAGTAATTTTACAATGACGAGCTATGATTGCGATAGAACATTATTTTCTCAGCATGATAATAATTGCTTGCAACATCACGTTTATCAGGAACGTTCAGCATACCATCACAATGAAGTGCCCACAAGTAGTATAGGTTATATTGATAATCGAGTTAGTGCAAATGTAAGTTTTATTCTGCTTCAGGAAGATAGAAAACTGTTGGGTGAAGGCTTGGTCATTTATGGAAATGCTTAAAATTGCTTTAATAATGTTCAAAGAGTTTAAACAGTTTAAGTTTTGCAAAAATTATCCTTATTTTTACGGCCAACCCTCCTTAAAAGTTCTATTGATAACGTACTTGAATGTTTATGTTTAATTTATCTCATCCACTTCTTTCGATTATTCTGTATTTTGTACATATAGACTGAGTTGACATATGCAGATCTAACGATTCTGCAGAAACAACCAATGCTTTATTCAAGTGCAACACTTGGCCGACCTCGAACTCATGAAATAAAGCGAGTAATAGAACCAAGCATATATGCACAGGTTTGTACATTTTATGCTCTTAGTTACTGTTTTTTAATTTAAAATTTGTCATTCTATCGCCACTCATGCATAGATTGATCTAGCAAGAAGTACACCACCTCCACCATCGTCAATAAAACAACAAGTATACCCATCCAATATGATATTTAGCACATCTCGTAATATGATGCCAATCTCACATCCGAGCCAAATTGAACACTTACCGTTGCCGCCTCCTCGCTTTCAATCAGAGCCGATGAATGAAACGGTAAGTAACTGTATGGAATGATGATGATACTCTATCGATAATAGAAGTATTCTTATTGTTACGAGAAGGAATTAGTATGGCTTGGGTATATGAAAGGCTGCATTTTATGACGCTTTTATTTGAATTGAGGTTCGATGAAAATTCAATGATTGAGTTTTGGAATTGCTGCATTGTTGATTGTAGCTTTTCTAAGCATTTTACAAAAGTTACACTTAGATTGCCCCTAAGGCTCTTTGCTTGGTCCACAAGTAGGCTTCTAGTATCGGCCCTAGTACTTCCCATCTCATCCAAAATGCATCTTCAACATCTCAACTATCTCAAAAAAATGCGTCATTTCCCAAAATATCCTTCCACTTGTAACGCACTCAATTCAATCTAAGCTCATCTCTATCCATTTTCTGATTTAATCATTTTCAATTTAGAAATCAATATTGCAAACACTTACTGAGAGCGAGGCTGAGAATGAACGTCCGGAGATTGTACAACGAGTAAACAATACAACGCGATTTTGACATGATTGATTGTAATTGTTACAGCCGTAGATGAAAATAAGAAAGAAATTGTGTATATAATAATTGTGAATATGATTATCTTTTAATTAATATTGATTTATTTTCTATGTTATTATGTTATTCTTTTGCCTTTCAATTTTTATCCATAAACTTCCTATTTCCACATCAAAAAGAAGAAAAAAAAAAGTTTCACTTATTGTCATAAATTCTGATTAATGATGAAAAATTGTATTGTAAAAAGCGGAAACGGATATTTATAGAAAAAAAATATGATGAAAAATTGTTAACAAAAAAAAAGGAGAATATGAAAATAATAAAAGAATTAATGAGAATAATAACAGAACTGAAAAAGTCTTTTGTTTAATAAACTTTTTTGCGATGGAACAATTATTTATAAAATGTGGTGTTTTGCAGGCTGAGTCAACAAAAGGGTCATTTTGGAAGAAAATCTATTTTTATTAAGTTTTATAATTCAAACCTCGTCTAGTTATTATGGAAATTGACACAACTGCAGTCCTCTAATTTTCGTCAGCAGGGGCGTTGCCAGGGGGGGGGGGGGGGGGGGGGGGGGGGCATAGGGGGCCCGGGCCCCCCTACGAAAATCTGATAATTGTTTTATTAAGTATTTATAGAGAAGAACCAGTTAATGTAGAGGAAGTGATGAAAGAAATGTCAAAATCAGCACGAAAAATTAAATTTAATGTATGAACAATGAATTAAATAATTAAACTTATGAAGAATGAATATAGATTTAGGGATACAATATAACGGTTTTTTAATTTTCGAAAATGGAATTTTCGAACAACATGAAATCATCAAAAGAACTCAAAGAACAACAATAATGCAGCTTTAAAATCATTAAATAAATATGATATGCGTATCATGATTACATTAACATCATCAATTGATTCAAATCCTCATTAATTAGCCATTTTAATATAGGAATACTCATCGAGGATTTAAATGAGTTTATGTTACATTTTTCATGGGCCATTAATTGTCAACTGCTGTAATTGTTGTGGACATGTAAAAGTTTAAATCTGCAGTAAATTGAGCGATTGATAATACATGAGATTAAATCTGATTTTTTGGCATCAAATAATGAGAATTAATTTGTTTCAGGAGCTTCTTGATTGCTCTTTTGTCAACTTGGATGTCATTAAAGTAATATGATTAATATACAGCAATTTTGATTCCAGATGCACCCCAAAAATATGATAATCTTCAGTTACAACTCAAAAATGTTGACAATACAGCCATCAACATCAACTCCATCGACATATTCAAAGAAGAAAATAATTCTGTCACCAAAATGACATTTCAATTATAATCCAATATGAATGTGAGATATTACGCCCACTTCATGACACAAGTAGCTTCATATACTATTTTACATCAAATAAGCTTTCAACAACTTCAGCTGAATAAAAAAAAAATATATCTTCAGTTTATTGAACGACATTCATTCACATTGCAAGTCTGAAGAGTGATAATAATTGAAATGTCATCAATTGGCACTTTGATGCTTTTGTAAGAAGGTATAAGCAATATGAGTGCATTATCATCATGATCATTAGAATGCTTTTATATGAGTTGAATGTTTTTCCACAAGTGGAGCTGATAAAAATAATAATATGTGCGGTTTGGTTGCATTTAAATGACATTATAGGTTTAATATTCATTTTTTAATTGAAACAATTGTGATCATTAGCTTCATAATTATGAAAACAGTGTCAAGTCTAACGTTAGATCACCTACGGTTCCGTTTAGGCATAGCTTCAATCTGATAATTTACAATATTCAAATCCACTTCCAAAATTAACATTTTCACCCTTAAAAGCTCATCATGATTAAAATAAAATTTAATCATATTCACTTATTGGAATATTCATGAACAATAAGTCCGTTCAAACATAAAACCATCCACACATATTGACTGAAAATAAGAAGAGAATGAAAAAATGTGAATATTTTTGTTCCCAATAATGTCGAGATTCCGTATCACTCTCAATTAATTATTCAACACCATTATCATTTGCCAAAAAGTATCCGAAACATGAACAAACAGATCGTCCATAAATATTAATTTCCATAAAATATGGTAATACACTTTCATTTTATACGTGTAAATATTTAATTAATTATGTAATTTACTACGACATTAACTGCTGTCTCTTTGTAAATAATGATAAGAATTGAAATGCGGGAATAATGTTAAAAAAAATCAATGCAAAAATTTAATTTTCTAGGGGTGCGAGGGGTGATTTTAAGGTCAAATTTGAATCTTCATAAATATTTACCGTTTATTTAAAGCTACAATAAAGTATAATTTAAATTCATTTAATTAAAAATTAATTCGTAACTGATAATGAAGCATTGAGAAATGATGAAAAAAGGATTTTTAAATGAATATGAAAATTATTGACATTAATGATGAAAAGCAGGGATTTATATTGTTTTTAATAAATTATAGCATAAATATATGAACAAGTCACTTAATAATTTTCAATCTGAAACGTAATAAATTAAAAATCAAAGCGATTATTTTCAATTTATCACAGCGTTAGTAAGTTATTAATAATCAGGTAGTTGTAATGAGCTATCGATTGCTTTAAAGTATTAATTTCAACACATATGACAATTTTGACTACATCAAATATGATTGTAAAAACTCAAAAAAATCACTACAAATAATTTGAAATTTAAATGATGAAAAAACATTCATTTAGTTAATAAACAATCATTTTCAGTATCCACCCACAGGCAGAAAATTGGCAATATTCATCCATGTAACACTGATGGACTTCATATTAGATTATAATGAAATCGGATATTAATCTTTTTTTTTGCAGCAAAATAAATCTGAGATAATTTGAGATGAAGTCGATGTCGAGATGCCTTCAGGCTTGATTTAAATGAGAGAAGAATTTCATAAGGATAACATCCTGTCGGTAATCTCTCCGTCCATCGTTCCATAGCATAGCAACAATAATAACAAATTCATGGGCATAAGAATCAATTGTTTATGAGAATAAGATATTAAAGATATTGATATAAAGTCATCATACACATGATTAAGGTATTTTATGAGTTGAAAAATCCTTTTCATGCTCGTTTTGCGGAATCATAATTGATTGTGTATATATAATCTGAGAATTTAGTGAATGATGTATCAGAAGTGGCTAAACTATCAAAGTTCAAAACTTTAATGTGGACTCAGAGATTCTGAGAGGCATGAAAACTTTCAAAGATCCAAATTTAAATGAGCTTTAATATTCCATATTTTAAGGCACACATTCTTAACTCTAAAGAATCAAATTTCAATTGAATTTATTAAATCAAAATGTAATTTAATTCAAACTCTGTTACATGCAACAAGTAATAAAAAAATTTAATTCAATTTACATCAAAAAAACATTTTTCAGCAATAAAATATTTTCCAAGAAATTCATTTCCTTTCCTCCAACCTCTAAACCTTAATTTTTCCCCATGGATATCTCATATATCGTGCAAAAAGTCATCACATTTTGACATCAAAAACGACTTCATTACTTCAAATATGACAAACATAAAAAAAAAATCATCAACCATGCAGTATGCGTGGAAGTTAATTTGAAGGAAGGGAAAATGACGCAATATATTACTTTATTCTTGAGTGATTTCATTCTCTGAATGTGTCAATTTCTTCATACATCACGTAACTTTCTTTTGTATGATCTAGAATCGGTTCATGAGCGTATGAATAACGCACCTCTGAGAAATACGATTCCAATTATTATCGTATGAAACGGTAAAGGATATAAAAAAGATGAGAAAATATTGAATTACTCGATGGATATTAAAGGAGTTGATGTCAATTTTATTTTCTACTTCTTGTTGATTTCCCAAAACGAAGGCAATTATCAATTATTGAATAGAATGTGTTGAAATGTGTCACAGATATATAGTATAATCATAACGACGTTAATGATTATTGTGATGATGACGATAAAATCATGAGAGCTGTGTTTTATGCATGAATGGAGTCGAGTAAATTGATATAATTGCCTGACAAATGCTATTGAGTTAAGGGTGGGAAAGTGAGATGAATTACTAAGATAATTAAGGAGATTGTATTGAAATACTTAACATCAGATCCTCTCTCTTGTAGTGTGACCTAAACCATTGAAAATCGATCACATTGTCTCAGGCGCGTAGCTAGGAGGGTCTTGTTCCCCCTTAAATGTTTTGAACCGCAGCGAGAGCACGGTCTAAAACGCTTAAGAGGGGGACAATACCCTCCTGGCTATGTATGTATGTATGTATGTTTATTAGCCATCTTTGTAAACAATAATAAAATATAATATTTAAACATTAAAAGAAAAATCTTAATTTAAGATGACACTGCATTTGCAGTTGTAATGAATTGATCTTTGGATTCAATTTGTGTAATTTAATCGATTTAATAAACACAAATTTTTGGATGATAAATCAATCAACGAAGTTTAATGATTATTTAACGGATTTAAATTATTTGAACTAGTAACGGTAAAAAATATTTTAAATTTATTATATTAGTATTGTCTATTAATATGTCAAAAATGATGAGACTCTAGAGAATTGAGATGTATGCAGGTGAGTTTGATTGAACAAGAGTGGCTAGATACCAATACCTTATTTCGTGACTCAATTATAAAGTTTCAAAGAAGTCACTCAGTCAATTAAATTACTTTAATTTATTAATCCTCAAATTTCAATTTTTTTTGCATATAACAAATTTTCCAATCCTTAAAATGACATAAAACAACTCATGTGTGTTAATAAGAAAACACATCAATATTATTGAAACTCCAAACATGATTTTAAGCCCAATTGGAAGAAACAAAGTCGATAATAAAGTTTCCATTTTTACGATACCCAATTTCATTTCTTTCAATTATCGCACGCATTCTTCTCGCTATGACTTTTTAGTATCATAACACTGCGGAGATATCTCTGCCATGGAAACGATTCCCTTCTTTATTCTTCTGTATATGTATTTTGGTACGTGATTCATAAAATTTTTACATAAATGTACACCAAAAATCAGCAGCAATAAAATTATTATGTCGATCATCATTTCTTGTTTCAGCTCATGTTCGCTGACTCCTCCATGGATATATATTCACAATTCTTTCTCTGTTTTATT